TGCCGGACGCGCGCTCCCGTGACCGGCGTCTGCGCTCCGCCCGCTGGGGGCCTCCCTGCGGGAAGTCGGGCCACCGGGTACTGACCCGGCCGTCCCAGGGGACGCACGTGGGAGGGCACTCAGGGACGTCGGAGGGGCGGGGTTTCCTGGGAAAGGCGGCCAGAGCTGAGACCCGGTCCACCACGGTTCTCCGGGGCAGGAGGCACTCCAAGCCGAGGGGGCGCCTAAGTGACAGTCCAGAAGCCGGGACTGAGCACGCGCACGTGGGAACCCAGTTTGGAGGTAGAATTGATAAGGTTTGGGCATGGCTTTGGATCTAGGTTTAAAAGGGAAAGTCACAGTGGTTTCTCGATTTTCTGGGGACCAGCAGTTGGCATTAATGGCTATGTCGCTGGACTCCCATGTAGTTGACCGCAGTTCGAGTCCTCAGTGGCTTAAACTCACGCCGGGCGCGTGTGCGTGCGTGCCCAAGATCCCAAGAGGAGAATGGAGGAGAAGGGATTGTGGCGTGACCATCCCCCCTGCAGGGTGATTTCTCACTTTCTGTCTCTCTGTCTCTCTCTGTCTGGCGAGCGCTTGCGCCCTATAGCAAAAACCTCTCCAAAAAAAAAAAAAAAAGAGTTTTGACCCTTAGAGAACATGCATCTAGTGGGGGACACAGCAAAGTAAGCAGAACACCGTAGTATTTTTTTTTTTTTTAAACCTTAACGACGTTGGAAGTTATTGGTGAGAGTAGCATGACCCGGATCACAGTCTGAGAGATTGCTCTGTGACCAGTGGTCTGTAGAGACGCCAGAGTGGAGGCAGGGAAGCTAAGGCAAGGGACAAAGATGGCCTCACGTAGGGTAGTGGCAGTGGGAAATGGCCGGTTAAGGAGAGAGTCGCGAGATAGCACAGGCAGTGTGTTCTGTGTCATTGTCCTTTTTTTGTAAAGTGGGGCTCTGTACAGTATTTGGGGTCACTGTGAGATTTAAATGTGCTGAGTACGTAATGTGCGTGGCTCAGACACGACTGGCATAGTCAATGTCTAATAACTGTGTTAGCCCTCGTCCTCACTGTTGCTCTTCCACTGCTGTTGGCTAGGTGTGGAGTGGGGGACGTCAGGACTGACGAAGGTTTCTGGCCCGCGTGACCTCCTGGGTGAGATAAGGCCCAGTAGGAAAAGCAGATTTGAGACTAGAGGAAGTTGATCAGTTTTAGTTTGGAAGGTGGATGTGCATGTGCTGTCCATGGGGTAGTTGGGTGGGAAATGGTCTTGACTGGAAATTCAGATGTTAGGATCTCTTACAAAGGAAGTTAAAGTCATAGGGGGCTAGGAGGCCACCCGCTGAGAGCGGGAGAAGGGAGAAAAGGACAGGGCATAGTTCAGACCCCCGAGGGACGCCAGGAAGAGGTGACTGCCAACAAATGCTTTTTCTCTCTCTGTCCTAATGCAAACAGCAGTAGCCGATAGGCAGCGGAATAGGCAGAGAGGTGAGCTCGGACTCTCCCCCTCGGTCCCGGGCTCTTTCATGAGACCACACGGCCTCTGCAGTGTCATGCCCCGTGAGCCTAGCCTTTTTCCTAGCTGCAACCTTCCGGCCTAGAGTTTCCTCCCCTTTTATGTCTGCCCTGTTGAGGCCTCAGGGGGACCTTCTGTGACCCAGTCTTGCCCTTTCCTCCTCTCAGTCTTTGTTTAGTTCCTTCCCCAGTGATCACACAGATGTCCATGCCTCCCTTGTATGCAGCCCTTTAGGGAGGAGCTCCATGGTAGATGGAAGTGATCTAGGCTCTAGAACCCGGCAAAGCTTGGGTTATTTTCTGGCTGTCCCTTAGTAACTAGTTGTCTCGTGGTAGGCTTCACCAACCTCGTTTATAGAATCGAGATATCAGTATCTGTTTTGCGTGGTGGTGTAAGCATTCCTGACTGTGTGTTTATGCCCTACACACAGGAAGTAATTCCGTAAAGGTAGCAAACGTTATCATTGCGGTAATTATTTCTTTCCTCTTGCTTCCCCCAGTAGGTGTTGTTTTGGCAGACCATGCCTGTAGCCTTATTAATAGTGAATATTTTGTAAAATTTCAGCGAAGGAATGAATGAATGAACCTCATAGATATTCAAATTATGCACTGCAGAGGTGACATTGTACTAATGGTATTTTTTGTTTCTTCGTTTTTTTTTTTTGTTTTTTTTTTTTTGCCAGAGGGCATGTGCACCTTCTAAAGACAGAGAGAGAGGGCAAGTGAGAAGGCACCCCTGGATGCATGGTCACGCTGCAGTCCCTTTTCCTCCGTTCTTCTTTCCTTTTCGGATTTTGAGTGTGCGCTTGTGTGCCTAGGTGCCTGGGGTGCTTCTCAAGCCGCTGGGTCCAGGACTTACATGGTGCAGTCGACCATGTGGGATTCAGCTGCTTTACCACCAAGCCACTGCCTGACCCTTGTTTTGTTTCTTTATGAGAGAGAAGGCGGGAGAGGGAGAGAGGGACAGAAATAGGTGTTTGGGCAGGGTCTTGCCTTGTTGTCACCCTGCTGCCCCAGCCTCTTGGTTAGCTAGGGTTACAGGCACGCACAGCTGCACTGGGCATGTTCGGGTTAGCCTGGGAACTGAACCTGGGCACCCCATGCGGCTTCTAGTCTCCTAAGCAGTAGTGCAGTGTGTGTACCACTGTGGTTTGGCCTTTGGTAGTTGTCTTTTTTTTTTTTTTAAAGAATTATTTATTTAATTCCATTTGTTATTATTATTTATTTTTAATTTGACCAGAGAGAGAGAGAGAGAAAAGGAAAGGGGGAGAGCAAGCCACCAAGTCTGGGATTCAAACTGCGGTCAGCCTTGTGGGAATCCAGTGCCTTTAATCACCACGCCACCTGCTGGTCCTGTGCCAGTAGTTTTTATTGTTAACTTACTTTTGTATTTCTAGGCCCGCAGGCTTCTCATCTTTGCCAGCTTCTTATTTATTAAAATCTATCTTAGCAGATTCTGATAGCTCAAAGGTTAAGAAACCTGCGTTTATGGATGAAGAGGTTCAAAGCATACTCATCAAGATGACAGGCTTGGACTTGCAGAAGACTTTTAAGCCAGCTATTCAAGCACTGAAGCCACCGACCTATAAACTCATGACCCAGGCGCAGTTGGAAGAGGTACGTGACCGGAGGAATATTGGCCGAAAGGTTAAATGTCAGGGTTAAACAAAATTTCTAGGCGCTTCAGCAGATGCTCACAGGGGTATTCCACCGGCACTGATGAGGGGAGTTCCAGGAGAGAACTGAGATAGACACTGAGGGAGGCGGAGGTGCGGGAGCACGGCAGCGCCAGGCAGGCTGGGGCATTTGGGTCAGGCCTGTGCAGTCAGCTCTCTGCCCCCAGACCAGCCTGAGCAGCCTTGCTTTTTCCTGCCTGCTCACAGCATGGAGAAACATCTGCCGTGAGCTGCCTTGGGGGTCCTTGCTAGATTGTGAGGCCCTGCTGAAAGCATCCTACTCGAACTCCAGTGTCCTTTTGGGGCCAAGTGTAGAGTCCTTCGCGGGAAACATTCAGATGTATGAGTACGCGAAGCATAAATACTCTTTGTCCTGACTCCGAAGTAATTAATAGTCACAGCAAAACATTCTTATACCCCGAAGTATGTCATATAAAGAAAGTCCCCTTTTCTCCTCTCAGAGGGTATCATTATTATTATTTTTTTTTTATTAAATTATATTACCTAACACTCATTCCCTGAGCATCATCACAACACACTAAGTGTAGTTTCCCATCTAGGATAAACTGCATAGTGTCTTAATCAAGCATGTTATCACCAATACTATTCCATTTCTACTTTCATACATATGTATACATATATATATGTTTTTTATCCTATGTTTGACCCTCAGCCCTTTCCCCCTCTCCCGTTTACACTATCTCTGCTATAAACAGTTGTCTTCCAGAGGGGTCATTGAAAATGC